AACTTCACATGATGGTTAACACTGCGGCCCTGAACAGCTCTACGTCAAAGTTTATGTTACTTAATATGGCGTTACCATGGCAACGCATCCCTCGCCGTAAAACACAATGTTGTCTTAATTCAATGGAAAAGGTTCAAAACGGCACCAGACTTCAGATGACAGTTAATGGTCCGGCCCTCAACAGCTCTACGTGAAATCTGAGATCTCACCGTATGCCGTTTCCATGGCAACGCATCCCTAGCCGTAAAACACAATGTTGTCTTAAGTCAATGGAAAATGTTCAAAACGGCACCAGACTTCAGATGACAGTTAATGGTCCGGCCCTCAACAGCTCTACGTGAAATCTGAGATCTCACCGTATGCCGTTTCCATGGCAACGAATCCCTCACCAAAAAACACGAAGTTGTCTTAAGTCAATGGAAAAGCTTCCAAACTGCACCAGACTTCAGATGACAGTTAATGGTCCGGCCCTCAACAGCTCTAAGTGAAATCTGAGATCTCATCATATGCCGTTGCCATGGCAACGCATTCCTCGCCATAAAACACAATGTTGTCTTAAGTCAATGGGAAATGGTCCACACTGCACCAGACATCAGATGACAGTTAATGGTCCAGCACTCAACAGCTCTACGCCAATTCTGGGATGTCATCATATGCCGTTTCCATGGCAACGAATCACTCGCCGTTAAACACGAAGTTCTCTTAAGTCAATGGAAAAGCTTCCAAACTGCACCAGACTTCAGATTACAGTTAATGGTCCGGCCCTCAACAGCTCTAGGTGAAATCTGAGATCTCACCGTATGCCGTTTCCATGGCAACGCATCCCTAGCCGTAAAACACAATGTTGTCTTAAGTCAATTGAAAATGGTCCAAACTGCACCAGACTTCAGATGACGGCTACTAGTCCGCCCCTCAACAGCACTATGCCAATTATGGGATGTCATCATATGCCGTTTCCATGGCAACGCATCCTTCGCCATAAAACACGGTGTCGCTGTAACCCCAATGGACACGGTCCCATCGTCCCCCAATCTTCACTTTTATATCACTGGTCCATGACTCAACAGCTCTACGCAAAATCTGAGATCTCACCGTATGCCGTTTCCATGGCAACGCATCCCACGCCGTAAAACACGATGTTGTCTTAATTCAATGGGAAATGGTCCAAACTGCACCAGACTTCAGATCATGGCTACTAGTCCGGCCCTCGACAGCACTATGTCAATTATGGGGTGTCATCATATGCCGTTTCCATGGCAACGCATCCCACGCCGTAAAACACGATGTTGTCTTAAGTCAATGGAAAAGCTTCCAAACGGCACCAGACTTCAGATGACAGTTAATGGTCCGGCCCTCAACAGCACTATGCCAATTATGGGATGTCATCATATGCCGTTTCCATGGCAACGCATCCCACGCTGTAAAACACGAGGTTGTCTTAAATCAATGGAAAAGGTTCAAAACGGCACCAGACTTCAGATGATGGCTACTAGTCCGCCCCTCAACAGCACTATGCCAATTATGGGATGTCATCGTATGCCATTTCCATGGCAACGCTTCCCTCGCCAAAAAACACGAAGTTGTCTTAAGTCAATGGAAAAGGTTCCAAACTGCACCAGACTTCAGATGACAGTTAATGGTCCGGCCCTCAACAGCTCTACGCCAATTCTGGGATGTCATCATATGCCGTTTCCATGGCAACGCATCACTCGCCATAAAACACGATGTTGTCTTAATTCAATGGAAAAGCTTCCAAACTGCACCAGACTTCCGATGACAGTTAATGGTCCGGCCCTCAACAGCTCTACGTGAAATCTGAGATCTCACCGTATGCCGTTACCATGGCAACGCATCCCTCACCAAAAAACACGATGTTGTCTTAAGTCAATGGAAAAGCTTCCAAACTGCACCACACTTCAGATGACGACTACTAGTCCGCCCCTCAACAGCTCTACGCCAATTCTGGGATGTCATCATATGCCGTTGCCATGGCGGTAGATCACTCGCCATCAAACACAATGTTTATTGTATAATACTGCTGTAACTCCCATTTACGTTGTCCGATCGGCCTGAAACTTCCCACATTTGCCAACGGCCGAGTCCGGAAAACTCCTGCATGATACCTCGACGTGCGGACAACAGCCTGCGGAGCGTCGAAGACCCGCTCAACGCTGCTTGCAGCTTTAATTAGGGTCTGAGACCATAGGTCGGCGAAGACCCTATTGAAATCGGTCGCGCAGCGACCGATAAACCTGCTAAAAACACCCAAAAACAGGGAAAACGACCGGCAAAAGCACAGAAAAGGTTCGGAAATAGTGACGGCAGATAGTCCGCGCGAGCCCAGTCACGTGGGCGAAGCCCACGTGATTGCAACTCGCATAATTAATATCGTTACGATCAATTTAGTCGCTCGCGAAGCGAGCGATAACCATGCAAAACCCACTAAAAACAGGGAAAAAGATGGGTAAAAGCCCATTAAAAGTGGCCTAAATCATGACAGTAGGTAGGCCAACGGCCTACAGTGACGTGGGCGTAGCCCACGTCACTGTAAACGAGCACATTATTGATATTGGTCCGATTATTATTATTAGGGTCTGAGACCTAGGTCGGCGAAGACCCTATTGAAATCGGTCGCGCAGCGACCGATAAACCTTTGACCCCCGCAACATATGTGAAAACTCACCAAATTGTGCACGCGCGTCAGAAGTGGTGCAACTTCAGATGTGTAATTGGTTCCGGAACTTTGCGTCAAAAATTGCGTAGGCCACACCCACTTCCGTTTTTAATGTAAACTCCCCCCACTTTAACTTTCACGTAAACTAACGAAACTCGCTACGCATATCTAGGGTGCGGAGACAAACCAAAAAGCCTCTTGGAGGTGTATAAAATAACGTACAGGAAGCCGGCCATTTTGAATTTGGCGTCGGAAAAACGCGATTTATCGCGTTTTTCGTCCTCCGCACGAAATCTATCTTCTCCCAGGGACTTTATCCGTACGACTCGAAATTCGTCGGGTAGCGTCTCGAGACATGGGCAATTCAAAGTTATCACGGAAGTTTTTGTCTTTCGCACGGCGTAGCCGTGATTTGGCGCCAAAGTTTGCATTCGCTCGATGCTAGGCGATCCCTCGCCATGGAACACGATGATGTCATAACACCAACTGACATACTCAGAACGCCACCAAACTTCACGTGATGGTTAACACTGCGGCCCTGAACAGCTCTACGTCAAATGTGATGTTACTTAATATGGCGTTACCATGGCAACGCATCCCTCGCCATAAAACACGGTGTCGCTGTAACTCCAATGGACACGGTCCCATCGTCCCCCAATCTTCACTTTTATATCACCGGTCCATGCCTCAACAGCTCTACGTGAAATCTGAGATCTCACCGTATGCCGTTTCCATGGCAACGCATCCCTCGCCATAAAACACAATGTTGTCTTAAATCAATGGAAAATGGTCCAAACGGCACGAGACTGCAGATGAAAGTTAATGGTCCTGCCCTCAACACCTCAATATGACAATAGTGAGTTTTCCTCAAAAGTTGTTGCCATGGCAACGCATCCCTCGCCGTTAAGCACCATATTGCTTTAACTCCTGTGTAAATGGTAAAAAAGTTTCACATGTGTGCTAACCGTCAAGCCCTCGAGACATATATGTGTCAGTTTTTAGATTCGTCAAATGTCGTTGCTTTGGTAACAAAATGGTCGCCGTGAAACACGTTTTTTTCATAACTCCAGTTAACATGCTCCAAACGGCCCAAAACTTCACAGGTTTGATAACGATGCAGCACATCTAGGCGGTGTCATCAAATTCCGTTGCCATGGTGACAGATCACTCGCCATCAAACACAATGTTTATGATACTGCTGTAACTCCTAAATACATTGTCCCATCGGCCATCGGCCTGAAACTTCCCACATTTGCCAACGGCCGAGTCCTCGAGACACCTAGACACACACGTCGACGTGCGGACAACAGCCTGCGGAGCGTCGAAGACCCGCTCAACGCTGCTTGCAGCTTTAATTATTATTGTTATTATTATTATCTATTATTTATCTTTATATTACAGATTCCACACCCAATTACTATTACATGTTCAATTCACTACCCTGGAGAGCCAATAAAGTTATTAAAGTTAGAACAGCCTGTTCTTCCTCGCAGACAGTCACCGTCACCTTCTCACAGAGGACAGGACTAGCTGCAGCACCACCCGTATATTTTCGCACGCCGTGTTCTCAACCCGGCTCTGGGGGCCGGAAAACTGGCTGCCCATTCACTCTCCTATCCTGCATGGGGTTCAGTTTCGGCATGTGTTCATGTGTGGGTACAAATAAAAGTTATTTCCGTTGGGGATAAATAAGAGTATATGTTGTATCTTCAACAAACTTGGTACAGTGAAGGTAAAGAGTAATGAAAAGAATAAAGACTATAACTAAAAAAGTAGAGAAACAGGAGAACTGCTTAAACAGCCAGCCACTCACGGTGGCGTCAACACGTTGTACATGATAGGCTAAGGGACGGGACATCGCTAAGTGGTCGACCAATCACAACAGAGCCGGCCAGCTAACCAATCAGAGCAGACTGGGCTCTGGTTTCAGACAGAGGCAGTATGAGAAAAATAAAGATATTTTTCAACCTTAAAGCATGGAGACATGTCCCAGTGAAGACAACATACTAATACCAACCTGAACATGAACAGAATATGTCATCTGTGTTGTTGTCCTCAGTCTCTGGTTGTAAATGTCTCTCTGGATCTGAGTTCCTGGCTGGTTCTGGTCCTCCACAGTCCTCTCCATCAGCTTCTGTTTCCAGGTGTTCAGTTTGTCTTTGATGAAGCTGAGAGGACTGAGGTTTCTCTTCATCATCTTCACTCTTCACAGGGACAGGAGTGAATGTGGACTTGGTGATATCAGCCTCCTCCAGCCCTTGAAGCTGCTCTCCCTCCTGACTGCTCCAGAGTTCCTCCTGCTCCTCTTTAATGTGTGGGGGGGGCTCTGGGTCCTCCTGGTCCAGACTGGAGCTCCACTCCTGCTGCTCAGGGGGAACCTCTTCTTTAACCACCACCAGCTGCTGGACGGCTGCAGGAAACAGGAAACACATATTCAGAGAAACTGTAGAGTATTAGAATTGAAAATCTAACCACGAGTAACACTTCATTAACTTTGCAGCCCTTATCCATTCCTTATTTTAAATGCTTGCCTATTGATTTGCTAAGTCCCGCCCACTCTGTGTTTCTGTTGGCTCGATTGTCTGTCAATTACACCTTTTTTCCAGATGCTCTGGAGAGCTTCAGGACAACAGGTGAGTTAGTACTGTAGCTGATCTAAATCATAGTAACATTGCTTAGTTTGGACAGGGAGAGCGTGGGGGCGAAGTTTCTACTTTTCTGTTTGCAGATATGAGTTTCTACATGTAGGTTGGAGTCATTCATGCTAATGTTAGTTAGCAGGGTTAGCTCTGTATGTACTGGCTGCATGAGATGTTGGTCTGTTTTTAGTGATTGTTTTAGAAAGTTGGAGGGGGCTCCTATTAAGGCACTGCTAGCTGTACCCTTCATTCAACACTTAGACAATAGGCAGGAGTAGTACTGTTGAGGAACCGGTGACCTACGTTTGCATGGCATAACTACACCGTAGTTGTGTATCTGATATGACAATATCACCAAGGGGGGTCCTGTGTGGGTGGCAGCTCCTTCCCCAGCAGACCCAGTCCTCCAGAATTGTCCTAATCACAGAGTAAATGAGAACAATTAAAATTAAATTGATCTAATTATACACAGGGTGGCAAAATTATGATTGCAAAATGTAACTCAGCATTACAGACAAAACAATATTTAAAATGACGTACTGTTTTAGTTTAAAAAAGAAAAGAGAAGTGACAGTCACAGCTAGCATCCCTTTGACAGCACTCCAAAAACTTAAATCAAGCAAAAGTCTTCTGTCCATTTCTGATGGTCTTATTATTATGGGATAAGGATACATATTTCCTGGATTATTCGAACCACGCTCCGAAGCCTCGGTGCAGTACTTAAAGGTAGGGTAGGTAAGAATGGAGAAACCAGAAAGAAATCTGCCCCTTCCTTCAGACTTCCTCAGAGAGCCCCTCCTCCAACACAAACGAACGCGCACATGACCAATGAATTACCTACCCCACCTTTAACATCACTATAGATTATGTTCCAAACCACATCAAGCATTATTTCTGAAACAGTATGGAGCTCAAACGCTTTCTCTCTTGCGGGTTTAGCACAAGGTGAGTTCCTTTAATATCCACACATACTCCCTCCAGTACAGCGTTAGCTCTCAGTGTTAGCGATGCTTGCTAATGTAATCAGACCATATTACTCCCAAAACACGTTGCGCATTATTCTGATACAGCGATGTTTCTGATAGGTTGGGGCGGAACGTTTATTCAGTGTTTACCACTAGAACAGTGCCATTGTATTTATTAGTATTGTCACGATACCAACATTTTTGTTCCGATACCAAGTCAAGAATTGCGATTTCTTAAAAAAGGGGAAACTGTCTTAAATGTAATTATTGTGCTTTATTTCAAACCTGGAAAAATGTTTCAGTCATAACACAAACCTTTGAACAATGAGAATAATAAATACAATAAATTAAAGCAATGGCATTCAAGGTAAAATGACAAGTGCTATGATATTAGGGTCATGCCGAGTCAGATCGCTATCTCCTTAAGAGAGAGAGAGAGGGGTGTGGCGTGTGTGTGTGTGTGTGTGTGTGTGTGTGTGTGTGTGTGTCAGAGTTCCCGTTAGCCGGTAATTACCGGACTATGACCGGTAAAATATGCTGAAGACCGGCAAATCTAAATCTCTCCGGTCAAAATAATTTCCCTTTAGCGCAATACCGCATCAGTTGCGCCACTTATGTGACAGACGAGAAGAGTACGTGACAGATGAGAAGAGTACGTGACAGACGAGAAGAGTACGTGACAGATGAGAAGAGTACGTGACAGACGAGAAGAGTCTGTGACAGACGAGAAGAGTACGTGACAGACGAGAAGAGTCCGTGACAGACGAGAAGAGTACGTGACAGACGAGAAGAGTACGTGACAGACGAGAAGAGTCCGTGACAGACAAGAAGAGTACGTGACAGACAAGAAGAGTACGTGATAGACAAGAATAATCAATTCTAATGTCTAACACGTGGAGAAAGAGATGGGTTGATTGTGCGTTGATCTGTTGGTAATGCCTCGGGGTTCCGGTGGGCATGTAAACAAATGCATAATGCTGCGCTATACTTTGTGGCCTCACCCGGTTGCATAGCAACGCTTATTGTTTAGGTGTCTTTTAATAAGCAGGTAGTCATATCATTAGCTAGAACTAGCTAGATCTGATCGATATGGACATAAACGCGAGTAAAGTCTAATCTGACGGGAGAGAGAGATCGGCTGCTGCTGATCACCTGCAGCGGTGAGCAGAGCAACACACACTTCAGGTTAGAATATCACGTAGCTATTTTATTGACCTCTCAAACTACCTAAACTAGTTATAGATATGTTTAGTTTTACTGTCGGGTCACTCATTACTGGATCCGCGAGCTGCATGATACTGACGGGCTGTCAGGAGAAGGAGAGAGCGCTCCGTTTATTATGCCCGTGTTTTTGTAAGTTACTGTACACTTTTGAATAATGTAGTTAATCTACTATAATTAGTTTGTTTAATGTCGAATCATATCAATTTGTTTTAAAGCTCAATAAATAACAAAGAAGACCTTTGACCGGCACTTTTCTACTTTTGTCCGGAAGATTTAAACTTTAACGGACATGTTGACCGGCAAAGAAATATTCTAATGGGAACTCTGGTGTGTGTGTGTGTGTGTGTGTGTGTGTGTGTGTGTGTGTGTGTGTGTGTGTGTGTGTGTGTGTGTGTGTGTTTTGAGGCGAACGAAGCAGCAGCAAAATAGGTCTGTCGAGTGTCTTCAAAGTTAGATCTGTAAGAAAGGCTTCGGAGTTGATTTCAATATTAAATAGTAAACGGCAGCACGTGCAACTTCACTAACGTCACGTGTTTATCCGTATTATTTAAATGCAACATGTTAATGCCCCTGGGTTTGACGTTAGGTATTAAAGGGGACCTATCATGCAAAATGCACTTTTGTATGTCTTTTCTACATGAATATGTGTCCCCGGTGTTCCAGGGAACTCACCAAGTGTCAGAAAACACAACCCTCTCTATTTTCCTCCATACCCAAATCTCTAAAAAAGGGGCTGCAACGGATCTGATAAAAACTGATCCAGATTTGAACACTTTACTGACGTCGAAATTTCTCGCTACGAAGTACGCCGGGCTCGGTAGATTTCCAAGTATGCTGGACATTGGAACAGTACTTCGGCGGCACTCGATGACGTAGTATGCTTGAAATAGTGGCTCTGCAGCAGCTTTACTCGCGATTGAGAAACACCCTGTATGAGCCAGCCAAGGCGGAATATTACTGCCAAAAGTCACGTGACTTTTGGCAGTAATATTCCGCCGTGAGAAGAAAAAGGTTTGTAGTTGTAAAAAAAAGTTGTGTACTTGTAAAACCTATGCTGAATTTGTCTCTGAAACATGATTTATTAGAACAATGTTATGTGTTTGTTTGATAGATACGTTTTTTCTTTGCAAAACTAAATGCATTAGTTTGTAGATGGTGTTTTGTATTTGCAAACCACATTGTGTTGAGGCATTTGTAAAACCTGTTTAGTTTGTTTGTGGAGTTATGGCAGGAAATTAGCTCCATACTCGCCTACATGAGACGTTGAAATCTCGCGGGACAAAGACGCCCGCAGCCTTGAGAGCGAGGCGCGGCGAAGCGGCGCAGTTTCTCTCCACGGGCTGCAGAAGCGAAATGCTTGATGGGAAACGACTCGCTGGTATATCGAGCTGAGCGCTCATTGGTGGGTTTTACCCCGTGCTGGAGATGAAACTCTCCAATTGGCTCGGCAAAAGTTTGTTGTTGTTTTGTGTCAGTTTTACGTCGCCACTTACATTCACATTTTTCATCATTGTTCCACAATGTTTATCATCATGAAATTGATATCTATATATTTTATACTATACTTGCACTACTTACCGTTTTCATACTTTATATATCTTAGCATATTCATACACACTGTTCATACTGCTCACAGGCTACTGTGTATATCTCGTGTATTCATACCCCTCACTGTTTATTCATCATTCAACTCATTCTATATTTTATTCTGTAGATTGTGTACATTACTTTTCACTTTACTGCTTGTTGCACTCCTGGTTAGAAGCTAAACTGCATTTCGTTGTCTCAGTACCTGTAATCTGTGCCATAACAATAAAGTTGAATCTAATCTTGAGCAGGAACAAATGTATTTACTTCGTACATATCTGACATTAACGATTAAACACATTTGTGCATTCTTTATAAATGCAAACTGGTCAAGACCACTGACGGAAGTAGTTTTGAAAAGTAATAAGTGGTTCTGTCTTTGTAATGTAGGATTCAACCCCCCTTGTATTGATTTGTTTTAAAATGAACAGACACTTGAGTCATTCATTTGTAGTGATATAATAATTATGGGATTTCTATTGCATCCACTTCATCTGCAACAAAGAACGCCAACGCAATTTCCGCCATTGCAAACAGAGTCAAGCCGACTCCGACCTTTCCGACGAGCTTTTTGAGACCTCCCCCGGCTGCAATCGGCTATTCTCGTCAACTTTCGAGGCGAGACGCAGCTCATCTCAAACAAGCCTAATGTTTTTTTTTATGATTGGCCGACGTGACGTGACCAGTATGCGTGCGCAGCCAGAGAGTTGATTGAAGTGCACCTTCCTACCAGACATGAATGTCGACGTCTCCGGTATAACAATAAACGTTGAATATAGCACGTCATAGTCTGGAGTATTGATTGTAAATACAGTACGAGAACAAAACACCCAATACTCACAATTACCAGTTATTAAAGTAAATTAAACCCAATACTCACAATTATCAGTTATTAAAGTAAATTAAACCCGATACTCACGTTTATCAGTTACTCCTCACGTGCTGCTTTCTCTCTGAGACCGACCGACATTTTCTTTGTTTGCTTGTCACTGGCGCGCATTGCATCCTGGGATACGGTGGGCTACGAGGAAGAGGACTCTTCGGGAAAAGAAGAAGGCCGCTCTCCAACCCGCCCCTCCCCCCTCTCTTCTGTCTGTCGCAGAATCAGAAGTCCTTTATTGGTCCCACAGAGGGACATTAACATGGGTACAGCAACAGTGGAGATAGATGCTGCTCCCAGACCGTAGTGGAGGAATACAGGGGAGGACTCTCTGCAGTCTTCCCGGACTGAAGCACCAGGCTTCGGCTTCAATAACCCACTCTGAAATGAGGCAGACAGGCAGGCTGTTCCTTGGGAGGCCGCTGTGTTTCCTCAGGACTTTGTTATACAGCTAACTGGAGACAGACTGATCACTGCTGCTACTCCCGCTCTCTTCCGGACACACGCTACGCTCGCTCACTCTCGCTCTACACATGCACGCGCCACATGCACGCGCCACATGCACGCGCCACACCTCCCTCTCTCTCTTAAAGGGATAGGCGACCCCACTCTGCATCACCCTGCTATTATAAGATAGATAGATAGATAGATAGATAGATAGATAGATAGATGGATAGATAGATTGATAGATTGATTGATTGATTGATTGATTGATTGATTGATAGATAGATAGATAGATAGATAGATAGATAGATTGATTGATTGATAGATAGATAGATAGATAGATAGATAGATAGATAGATTGATTGATTAATTGATTGATTGATTGATTGATTGATTGATAGATAGATAGATAGATAGATAGATTGATTGATTGATAGATAGATAGATAGATAGATAGATAGATAGATAGATAGATAGATAGATAGATAGATAGATAGATAGATAGAGGCTGTTCAGTAGAGCTGATGTTACTCTAGCTATCCTGAAGGTGGCAGCAGAGGAGGATATATATTGTTTTAATCTCTCTAAATATTTATACAAATAGAAATAAAGCAATGAAGTCATTAAATAAATAAAATAACAAATAAAATGATGTTGTTTCACATGGAAGTTGGTCACCAAGAAGAAAGGACACATGGAAAATGCCATTTGAGGGGGGGGCTCGCCAACTATTTGATATTTAAAATAATATTTGTAATCCTCTTTTCATACAACTTTATTTATATTTTGAGGACAAGTTTATCCAGCAAAACAAGTGCATGTATTATTTACATGTTGGATTGTTTATTTCTAGTCTTTTCATTTCTCTAATGTACAATGTCTTGTCTTTTTATGCTGCCACGCAAACATTCCCCTAATTGGGATGAATAAAGTACTTCTTATCTCATCTTATGTGATCTTAGTAACACGCAGGCCCGTTCCTCTTTGACTGCTATTCGGTGCTTTTATTAACATGTATTGTAGTTGTAGAGGTGAAGGTGCTGCTATTTGGATGTTGCTATTTGCTTGTAGATGTGTCTTTACAACTGTTGATGTGTTGTTTGTAATGGTGGTGCATGTTGTTCTCTCTTCTGAGGCTGAACATATGCAGGGTTGGGAGGGTTACTTTGTAAATGTAATCAGTTACTGATTACTGAATACATGGCTCTGAAAGTAATCCGAATACAGTTACAGTTACGTGTCTTAAAAAAGTAACCAGATTACTTTTAGATTACTTTTGGATTACTTTCTTTTTCCATCATGCAGCTTGGGATGTGAGGAGTGAGGGACACGGCTTAGAACGGGCGTGTCGCCTTCTGTCCTGCCAGTGTTGGCAGGACATGAATTAAAATGTCGAACTCGGACTTCATTTTAAGGACATGTCGGCCAGGGGTGTGGAGCTATATTTGTTTAAGCACCGGATTGGCAAAACAGGAGAGTGTGTGCACCAGTCTGCCTTTATCTATGAATTCATGTCCGCGACTCTCACAGTATCTGCTGCCCACAGCTGGTTTATAAAACCTCCTTCACTTCATGACATCTCTGCGGCACCAGGAGGCAGCGGGAGGGTTAACTCAGCCTCTGAGAAGAGGAGCGCGCACCGCCTTCACTGTGCTTACCTTCAGAAAGAATCATTAGAAAGGCTAAAGAGCGACCCCAGGCTTCGTGTGATTCTGTTTATTTGTACCTTACTTTGACCATCCGTTCGCTGTTATTGATCATTGTGGAGAGCAGGCAGACGTTTTGTTTTGTATTATAGCAGCTATCGGATGGAATCAATACATGGGCTGCACAGGTTGTCATGTCCGACTATCACAAGTAGAATCATAATGACAAATACGCCGGTAAAATGTGCCTGTAGAAAACGGCTTATGCCACAATAGGATAGCAACAAGTTGTCAAGATAGTCAGTTTAGCTTCGGTTGCTATGCTAACATCACCCATTTTATACCAGAGACACTTTCATAACAGCGTTGTGATGCCAAACAGCGGGCAGCACTGCAGCTTTCGGTAAATGCCGCTGAACACATTAATAAACAATGAACCACGGCACTCTGGAGAAAAGTATAAGGGTCGATAAGTAGTTATGTAATTTAATCTGGCTTCGTATGATTAAAGCAACACGATCATCGACCCGACGCCGTTGGGGAGAAAATCAGCGACGTAAACGGTGACGTCATGACGCAGCAGCGGCAGCACCAGTCGGGCTCTGAGCGGTGTGAACAAAACGGGGACTGAAAATAAAAAACGGTTCCGAACCAGAAAAGCTCTAGCACGGAGCTAGGACGGGAACCGCGTTGGTGTGAAAGGGGCACTAGAGTAGGTGATGGCACAACACAGGGAGAGTTACAGGGATTTAAAAGACAACTAAGAGTGGTAAAAAGGATCTGGGGCCTATTTCTGTTGTTGGACACAAGATTTGAAATAAAATGTGTTTTTGCACATTTATGCTCCCCAACGCCGAGTTATTTTAAGTCGAGGCTAAAAACACTACTTTTTACAGCTGCTTACCCAGAAGTCTTTTAACTTGTTTTAACACTTACCGTATTTACAAGGTTGTTTTTAAACTATTCTGTATCTCTTTTATGCATGTATTTTATGAATCTGTTATTCCACTATGTTTTATTCATTTTATTGTGTTCTTTTCTGCTGTGTTATTGTTGGTAAAACACTGAATGGACTCCTCCAACATGAGAGTAACATGATAACAAAGGTATCCCAACTGTAGCTGTGTGCATGACAGGATGTATGATTACCTAGAAGAGCATCAGGACTGTTTGAGGCATATGATAGCTATGTGATTAACATGATGATTCAGCCTCTATGGAGATAGACATATGACAAGCATGCTCATTTCTGACGTGGAGCTAATCTGAAGTAAACATTGAATACTGCTTTCTATTCCTCCATCTTGTGACTGTGTAACTCCCTCTCTTGAATATCAGCATGTGAAGGACACTGTTCAGGAACTAGTTGATGCTCTGTATGTGATGACTACTTCCATTCTGGAGAGGATCACAAATACATGGATCCTGAGATTGAAGATCAAGCTGGTGACGAGTGATTATTAACATTTGTAAGTATTCAGAAAAAGTCATATTTTTTAAATTTGAGAAAAATTCAGATTTTTGAGGAAAAATTCAGATTTTTGAGGAAAAATTCAGATTTTTGAGGAAAATTTCAGATATTTTAGGAAAAAAACAACATTTTGAGAAAAGGTCAGAATCTAGATAGAAAGTCAGAATTTTTGAGATTTTAAGAAAAAATCCGAATTTTGAGATTTTGAAAAAAATCCGAATTTTGAGAAAAAAGTCCACATTTTGAGTTTTGAGAAAAAAATTCAGAATTTTGAGAAAAAAATCAGAATTTGAGAAAAAGTCAGATTTTTTCAGAAAAAAACCAACATTTTCAGAAAAAACTGAGTATTTTGTACATGACAGGATGTATGATTACCGACAAGAACCTGTATTCCTCCATCTTGTGACTGTGTAACTCCCTCTCTTGGATATCAGCATGTGAAGGACACTGTTCAGGAACTAGTTGATGCTCTGTATGTGATGACTCCTTCCATTCTGGAGAGGATCACAGATACATGGATCCTGAGATTGAAGATCAAGCTGGTGACGAGTGATTATTAACATTTGTAAGTATTCAGAAAAAGTCCGAATCTTTTAGATTTTTGAGAACTCAGAATATTTGAGAAAAAGTCTGAATATTTGAGAAAAAGTCCGAATTTTGAGATTTTTGGAAAAATACCAACAAATTCTCTTTTTTTATTTTGACTTCCATTCTTGAGAGGATAATAAATACATGGATCCTGAGATTGAAGCTCAAGCAGGTGACCAGTGATATTTTTCTAACACTTATTATTAAGTGTTAATGATGATGTAAAGCACTTTGAATTGCCTCTGTGTCTGAAAATGTGCTATATAAATAAACGTACCTTACCTCTTTGAAGCGTCTTTGAGCACCTGATAAAGCGCTTGATAAATAATATGTATTATTATTATTTATTTATTTTTAACAATGTTTTTATTAATATTTTATACAAAGAAAACCCATATATACAGTGTACAGTTCCACACATACAGAAGTGCACTTCTCAAGGTCAAATTACACTGAGGTACAGGTGCAAACAAAAACACAAATACAAAATAGAAAACACACTACCCTTCATACAAAGACACATCTTACATACATTTCAAAATTGAATGACATTTCCAGCCACTTTGGTTCAATTCAAGGCAGTTTCATGGAACATAGTCTGAACTCAAAATAATCATATTATGAGGTTTACACTCGTCAGTATTCAATCATCCTCACCATCTGCTAGCTCCATACCTTCCACAAACAGATTCAATGGTTTCAAGAATCATGTCAAAAAAGTCTTGTTTTTTTTTTAGTATATATGTTATTCTGTCCAGAGGAAAAGTTGTTCACATTTGCCGGACCCAATATGTGACGCTTGGTCTGCTGGTCTTTTTCCAAAATAATGCAATCGATTTTTTTGCATGCAAAAGACATATCTATGATTATTTGCATTTTCACAAACAATGAAATAGAGTCCCCCTTTCCTCCATATATTTTATACATAGATCTGGAATGTTACTATTATATTTATGTAATTTGGCTGGTGTGATATATGTTCTCATTATCCATCTATATTGTAACATTTTTAATCTTGTGTTGACTGATTGGGATTGAGCCTTCTTGCATATTGATTCCCAGTCCTTTGAGGAGATCTCTGTTCCCAGATCTATACTCCATGCATTTTGTTTATCTTCTGAGTTCTCTCGTGAATTGGACATTATTCAATTGTATAGCTCTGATGTAGCACTTTTGCTTAGGCTATCCTTAGTCTTAATTTATTCCAATTCCATCTGGTCCTGCTTTCATGCCGTCAATAGCGATTCTTATTTCTTCCTCATTAAGATCTGCCTCTAGCATCTCTGCAAACTCCTTAGAAATAGATGGAATATTCAGCCTGTCAATAAATGTTTTTTGGGTCTGGGGGTCATATTTGACTTGGGATTGATACAGATTTTCATAATATTTCCTAAATTCCCTGTTTATTTCCGTAGGGTCTATTCTCGTGTCATCGTTATTGTTAATAATGGAAGTGATGTTCTTCCTTGTTTCAAGCTGTTTGATCTGCCACGCTAAAAGTTTGTAAGGTTTTCCCCCATGCTCGTAGAATGTTTGGTTGAGCCTAAGCATACTGGATGCTGCCCTGGCTGCCGATCATTTATTATATTCGGCTAAGAGCAATAGTTCTTTTTCTACTTCAGGGTTTTTTCTCCTAAATACCTCGTCTTGAAGAGTTTTAATTTTGGACTCTAGCTTCTGTCTTTTCTGGCGTAACTCTCTGGATTCGGATGAAGTATAACTAATTATGTCCTCTCAAAAAGCCTTGAAGGCATCCCACTTGATACATGCCGTGTGTAGTATTATCCCTGAAATAATTATCTATCTCTGTCCCCACATATTTAATGAATTCTTCATTTTGTAGCTGGGTGGATCTCTAAAAAGGTTCTCGTCCATACCATACAACATATTCCATGGTCTGATATGAATATACTGCCATAGTAACAGTCCTGTATTTTTTAACATAACATTGCAGAGATTAAAAAGTCATCTATCCGCGAATATGTCTGAAAAGTACTTGAGTGAGACGAGTAAGTAATATCGTTAGGTGTCAGGTGTCTCCAGATGTCTAACAAATGTAACCCTTGAATGAAATGTTGAATAGTTGTTGTACTTCTAGTGTGAGTTTGATCAACACCTGTAGATCGGTCTCTGGTTGGATCTAGTGTACAGTTCCAGTCCCCTGCAATTATATTCTCCTGGGAGAGATGCAAGTGTAAGAAATACATTTGTAAGAAAGCCAGGCTCATCTGTATTGGAGCCGTACATGTTAACCACATTCAAGGTAACTGAGAGCAGTGATCCCTGGATAACCAAATATCTACCAAATGTATCCTTAATTACATTAGAAACTTGAAAGGGCACTGATTTGTGGATAAGAGTCATGACTCCCCTTGCTTGTGATGTAAATGACGATGCATCAATGCTCCCCAGGTTGCTTCACTAGCGGCCTTCAGCTCGTCTGCATTGTTGGCTCTCCAAATTCTGACTATTATCTCAAAATGTCTAACTTTTTTCTGCAAATCTCACAATTACTTTTTTCTCCCAATTCTGACTTTTACTAAAATGCAGAATTTTTCAGAAAAGTTCCAAAACTCTGACTTTTAAGAAAACCTCAGAATTTAACTTAAAAAAAAAATTTGACTTTTTTTCTCAAAATCCTCACTTTCAGAAAAATCTCATAATTCTGACTTTTTTCTGCAAATCTCATATTACATTTTCCCCCAGATTCCCAATTTTTCTCTCCAAAATCTGACTTTTTTTCTGAAAAATGTCAGATGATAGAAAGGCAACAGTAACTCAAATAACCACTTCTTACAGCCAAGTTATGCAGAAGACCATTTCTGCTGCGACATTCAGGCGGTAGGGTCAGAAGACATGAGAGCATGGATCCATCCTGCCTTGTATCAACGGTTCAGGCTGGAGGTGGTGGTGTAACGGTGGGGGGGATATTTTCTTGGCATACTTTGGGCCGCTTACGATCATCATTTAAAAGCCACAGCCTACCTGAGTGTTGTTTCTGACCATGTCCATCCAAGCTCCCCCTAGAGGCGAGAGGCCTCCAATCATCCCATTTTTTATTTGTCTTATTATTATTTTGGTGGGGATTGAAAATTGAGTGTGTGTACAAATCAAGTTATACCTACTTAATTATTTTGCGAATACAAATATTATTGATTTGTTTGCTGAATGGTTGTATCATGCCACGTGACACACAGTTCATCCTCCCTCTCTCTCTCTTCCTCCCTCTGCCTCTTCTTCTGGCTGCTGTCCATATATCTGTTGTTGTTGTAAAAAGTTCTTACATGAAGCCTTTTTCTAGTGTTTACATCCTGATTGCTGAGTCAACAGTAAAGCAGTTTTGGTGTTTATGGTCATAAGGCATGTGTATTTGTTGATTGGTTCATGTGTGTAGCATTTTTAATGGCAGTATTTTGAAAATGGCAAACAAGTGAATATGTCAGATTTCTGTGTCTTACTTAGAGAACCGTGTGCAGTGTTTTGCAAAAAGTGCCAAGTTGAATTGCACATTTGGTGCAGAGCTGAGAATGTGTTTAGAGTTTGGGAGATTTGAGCTGAGGTTTTTCTCTTTGAGGGTGAGATTAAATCATTTTGCTTCATGTGAGATTTTAGTTTGTTAGCAACTGAAAAAAACTGTAATTGTGTTTTAGGGAACGATATGTAAGGAAATATGTCAAATAATAGGGTATGAGGTTTCTAAAAGTAGTTTGGTACTCTATTTATGTAAATTCACTGAGGAAATTATTGCAAGTGACAGATAGTTGATCAAAATTATGCTAATATCCAGCAAGAAAGCTTTCACTAGGACATCTGGGGTGAGGACGCACCACCAACGAAAAACCAATGGGCAACAATCATGGAAGAAATCTTTTTGATGGAACAACTGATTCATAAATTGAGATTACAAGAAACTAAACAGAAAGTGGGAACATTGGACTCAAAACAAAGACATTTGACTGGAACAATAGCTAACAGATACATGTATCTTCAAGACTATAATAACATGAAGACATATCTCTAGTCTTTTATTTATTTCTTTGTTTGTTATTGCCTTGCAGGCCTTTCGTTGCATGATTATTATGTTGTTTGTAAAGAGCATGTTAATGCCATGTATATTGGGACAATTAAGATATACATTTAAACATATATATTTTACATTGTGAGTTTAAATCCAGTTATCCAACGAGAAGCCACATCAAAGAAGAGTGCACTGGCAACAACAGACTGGCAGAAGATCTCCAACATCAGACTGGTAGAAGATCTCCAACAACAGACTGGTAGAAGATCTCCAACAACAGACTGGTAGAAGATCACCAACAACAGACTGGTAGAAGATCTCCAACAACAGACTGGTAGAAGATCACCAACAACAGACTGGTAGAAGATCACCAACAACAGACTGGTAGAAGATCACCAACAACAGACTGGTAGCAGATCTCCAACAACAGACTGGTAGAAGATCACCAACAACAGACTGGTAGAAGATCACCAACAACAGACTGGTAGAAGATCTCCAACAACAGACTGGTAGCAGATCTCCAACAACAGACTGGTAGAAGATCTCCAACATCTTGCTGCAGCGATCCCGTAGGATTCTAGTACCTGTAGTGAGGTGTGACCCTACCTAAGTGTCAGTGTGGCAGTCGTGCAATCTTACCCTAAATCAGGAGAGGACAGCGCAGAATTCATTTAGGTTACCCCAGTCCAAATGGGTGGGATGGTTTTATTTGAAGAAATGGTCCACACTCTAACACAGTTTTTTACTTTATCTGGTTACAATGGGACAGTTATACAATGTCTTACTCTCTGGTATTAATTATTAATTTACCGGTTTACATGTTTTCCTTTTTGTTAAAACTCCCTGCATATCTCCAGAGGCATTTCCTCACGATGACAGCGGGTAATACGACCTAGGGAGAAATTCCCAGTTAAGAACCCTAAGCCGACCGCACCTACTCTGCCATACAATATAGCAGAGAGGAACTTCTTCAATTGCAAAACTTCGTGGACAATAATAACCCTCCGACAGACAATGGAGATTCACCATGGCTACCTGTTGCTGTTCTACCTGAGAGACGCAAGAAGAAGACAAAGCGCGGGTGCCGGGCCGGGCTGCTGGTCAGACTGAGGAAACGAGAGAATCGACCCCCTCTTCCGAGTATTCTTCTGGCTAATGTTCAATCCATTGAAAATAAGCTAGATGAACTCAGAAGCCGGATTGCTTTTCAACGGGACATTAAGAACTGTAACGTGTTAATTCTCACTGAGACTTGGCTCAACCCCGCTATCCCGGACTCCGCCATTGTCCCTGATGGATTCTCTATTTTTCGTCAGGACCGGACTGCTAACTCGGGGAAAAGTAAGGGAGGCGGTGTGTGTGTAATGACTAATAACAACTGGTGCTCAGATGTGAAGATTATTTCATCGGACTGTTCCGCACATCTAGAGCACCTCATGATCTCATGCCGGGCCTTTCATCTGCCGAGGGAATTCACATCTGTTGTGATAACAGCAGTGTATATCTCGCTGCAGTCGCTCGCCTGTCATCTGCTACATTGGGAAATGCATCGATGACGTGGTACCGAAGGTTTCTGTACGGACATTCCCAAATCAAAAGCCCTGGATAAACTGCGATGTGCGCTGCAAGCTGAAAGTGCGCACTATCGCGCACAGAGCTGGAGATTTGGAGGAGTACAGGAAGTCTAGGTATGATCTCCGGAGAGCAATTAAAAATGCAAAGAGACAGTACAAAGAGAAGGTGGAATCTGACTTCAAAGGCTGTAACACTAGGAATATGTGGGCGGGACTAAGGACAATGACTGACTACAAAGGAGCAGCGGGGGGTGCTGCGGGAGTGTCTGCGTACGCATCTCTCCCAGATGAGCTGAACAGTTTTTTTGCACGCTTTGAGAGCAGCCAGGCTGTGGAGGTACAGATGGACCAGGAGCCCTGCCCTTTTGTTTTAAATAGGGCAGATGTGTGTAAATCCTTTAAAAGGGTTAACCCACACAAGGCTCCTGGACCTGATGGCATCCCTGGCCGTGTTCTCAGGGTGTGTGCAGTTCAGCTGGCAGAGGTGTTCACAGACATCGTCAACAGGTCCCTGCTGCAGTCTGTAGTCCCCACATGTTTTAAACACTCCACTATCGTTCCTTCCCCGAAAAAGACAATAATCACCTGCCCCAACGACTACCGCCCAGTAGCACTCACCTCCACCATAATGAAGTGCTTTGAGCGGTTAGTCAAATCATTCATCACCTCCTCCCTCCCTGAATCTCTGGACCCCCTGCAGTTTGCCTACAGAGCAAACAGGTCCACAGACGACGCCATAGCCCTCACCCTCCACACTGCCCTCTCACACCTGGACCCGAAGAACAGGAACACATATGTGAGAATGCTGTTCATTGACTACAGTTCAGCTTTCAACACCATTGTGCCCTCCAAGCTGGTCATCAAGCTCAGAGACCTCGGGCTCAACAGCGCCCTCTGTGACTGGATCCTGAACTTCCTGACGGGCAGACCCCAGGCAGTGCGGGTGGGAAACATCACATCCTCCACCCTGATTCTAAACACCGGTGCCCCTCAAGGCTGCGTGCTCAGCCCTCTCCTCTACTCCCTGTTCACTCACGACTGCGTGGCCACACACAGCTCCAACACCATCGTGAAGTTTGCTGATGACACGACCGTCATCGGCCAGATCACAGACGATGACGAGACGGCGTACAGAGAGGAGGTTGAAAACCTGATATCTTGGTGCCAGGATAACAACCTCCATCTCAACATCAGCAAAACAAAGGAGCTGATTGTGGATTACAGGAAGCAGCAGGGAGAGGGACACGCCCCCATCGCCATTAATGGGAATACGGTGGAGAGAGTCAGCAGCTTCAGGTTCCTTGGGGTCCACATCACTGAGGACCTGACATGGTCTCTTCACACCACCACCATCACCAAGAAAGCTCGACAGCGGCTCTTCTTCCTCCGCAGGTTGAGGAGGTTCAAAATGGATTCCAGGATACTCTGCAACTTCTACAGGTGCACGATAGAGAGTATCCTGACTGGCAGCATGACGGCCTGGTACGGCAGCTGCACCGACCTCGATCGTAAGGCTTTACAGAGGGTGGTGAAAACTGCACAGCACATCACCAGGACGGAGCTGCCATCCATGGAGGACCTTTACTCCCAGCGGCTCAGGAAGAAATCACTACGGATTATCAAAGACCCCCATCACCCCAGCCACAAACTGTTCTTTCTGTTGCCGTCTGGCAGACGTTACCGCAGCATCCTGGCAAGGACAAGAAGATTCGGAGACAGTTTCTTCCCGCGGGCAGTGAGACTGTTAAAAAATGGAACAGTTGAAACAACTTCAAAACATTCATCTGCTACTCAGTAATATGTATCTAATACCTAATATATATATATATATATCATTCCAATAACTTGTATATAGACTCGTACTGCACTATTCCACATCATCACTTTATTTTATAACTATTTTTCTTTTTGTATTGCTCTTGCTCTTATTGTTATTATGTTATTATGTTGCATTGTTGGAGAAGCCTGTGACATAAGATTTTCAACTACATAATTACTCTGTAGCTATGTTAGTTTGACAATAAAGAACCTTGAACCTTGAACCCAAGACCTTTTTTCCTCTCTCAGCTGCTGCTTTTATATCATACCAGCAGAAGCAGAAGTGAATACACCAACAGACCCATGTATGTGGAGAAGAGTCATTGCTTCCTGGACATGTCCAGACTTGCCTCAAAAACTAAACTAAAGCTTACAGTAATATCCCATTGAGTCAGGGGCCTCCTGCTGTGAGAGTAAGGGTGTCTTCCCTCTGCTGAATAGTGACACCTTTAGTGATAAGCTATATCAGACCGTACACTCTTTCATGTCAGTTTACCAAACCGTGTACATTTAGTATATAAGTATAGAGCTTCGTGACATATCATGCATTTTACATTGTGGATTCTACAAAATTATATTTGATTATATTAACTTTCGTTTTAATTACATAACCCAATATGGAAACCTCCTCAGACTCTGGTTGTAAATGTTGCCAGTTCTGGTCCTCCACAGTCCTCTCTTTACTTGGACCAAACATTTTTTATCACAAACAGTCAAGTTAACGCATTACATATGACTTACTGGGACTTACCCAAAGAGTTTAAACCTAACAATAATTACTGTCTTCAGTGTCAGGTTCAGAAGAGTCTTCAGGGTTGTCCTCAGTCTCTGGTTGTAAATGTCTCTCTGGATCTGAGTTCCTGGCTGGTTCTGGTCCTCCACAGTCCTCTCCATCAGCTTCTGTTTCCATGTGTTCAGCTGAGCTGCTGGCTGGAGGCTCTGCCTCTCTGTTCTCCTCAGTCTGAGTTTGATGAAGCTGTGAGGACTGACGACCAACACACTTATGGCTTTTGAGCTGATAGCTCTGTGTGAATCTTTTTTCACAAACACTGCAGCTGAATGGTTTCTCTCCGGTGTGGTTTGTCATGTGTCGTTGTAAAGTTGCTTTCAGGGCAAAAGCTTTCTCACATACTGAACAGCTGAATGGTTTCTCTCCTGTGTGGATTCTCATGTGTCGATGGAAATGTGCTCTCGTTGGAAAGGATTTCTTACAGATTGAGCAGCTGAATGGCTTCTCTCCTGTATGGATTTTCATATGTTCCTTTAAAATTTCTCTCCGTTTAAAAGATTTGTCACAGACTGAGCAGCTGAAGCGTTTCTCTCCTGTGTGGATTATCATGTGTTCCTTTAAATATCCTCTCTGTGCAAAAGATTTCTTACAGACTGAGCAGCTGAATAGTTTCTCTCCTGTGTGGATTCTCATGTGTCGTTGTAAAGGTTCTTTCAGGGCAAAAGCTTTCTCACAGACTGTGCAGCTAAATGGTTTCTCTCCTGTGTGTATTCTCAAATGTCTATGGAAATTTGTTCTCGTTGGAAAGGATTTTTTACAGACTGAGCAGCTGAATGGTTTCTCTCCTGTATGGATTTTCATATGTTCCTTTAAATGTCCCCTCTGTTTAAAAGACTTATCACAGACTGAGCAGCTGAATGGTTTCTCTCCTGTACTACATCTTGAATCACTGACACGGGCCGTCTCCACGGCAGCGTTAAAAAAATCTTGGAGGTGGGCGTATCTGAAGCTTGAGGATTTTTTGCGAGCAACCAATCACATGAATCTCCCGCCCGCGACATACGAAGCAAAAAAGCCCGAAGTAAACTGGATATAAACTCCCCAAAACAGGCGAAAACCTACCACTGTCTCTGCCACCTCCCTCCATGCCTGGCTCCTCCGGTTTGTATCCCGGTAGGTAAATAGGGACTGGTCATAAAGCACCGGGTGATTCCCTACCGCTAATTTCTCCTCCATTTTTTGGAATATGAGGAAATGACCTGCGGTATTTCTCTCCCAGCATACACGCCGTTTGATTGGCTAGAGCTTGAACTGTCAGATTTGCGTACACGGGATTTGATTGGCTGATGCTTCCACCTCAGCCTCAAAAGTTGAACATTGTTCAACTTTGGATCTTGAAAATCCTGAGAATCTCCGCTCGCCTGCCCACAATGCATTTCGGCGAAAGCGAAAAAAAGTGACGTCACCCCATTCAAAGTGAATGGGCAGAAGCGTTTCAAGATTTTTTAACGCTGCCGTGGAGACGGCCCGACAGGGTCTTGTTTATTTTTCGGAGAGTTTGAACCTGGTTCTCTGGGCTCCTTCGAATCTCCAATGTCTCCAGTGTCAGGTTCAGACGAGTCTCCAGGGTCGTCCTCAGTCTCTGGTTGTACATTTCTCTCTGGATCTGAGTTCCTGGCTGGTTCTGGTCCTCCACAGTCCTCTCCATCAGCTTCTGTTTCCAGGTGTTCAGTTTGTCTTTGACGAAGCTGTGAGGACTGAGGTTTCTCTTCATCAAATGCATGTTTCAGAGAGTTTAAATCTGACCGGCCTTCACTGCTCTGTTTCCAAAAATCATCCTCTTCACTGTCTTCAGTCTCAGAAGAGTCTCCAGGCTTGTCCTCAGTCTCTGGTTGTAAATGTCTCTCTGGATCTGAGTTCCTGGCTGGTTCTGGTCCTCCACAGTCCTCTCCATCAGCTTCTGTTTCTACATCTTCTGTTTGAAGAGGCTGTGAGGACTTACCCTCACATTCATGGTATTTCAGCGTAAATTGCGAAGGGAACATTCTGTTACAATATCTGCAGCATAATTTCGGCCTTTTGTGGACTTTCATATGTTTAGTCAGAGATCTTCTCCATGCAAATTCTTTACCACAAAGTGAGCAACTAAACTGGGTTTGTCTCGTGTGGATCCTCATGTGTTGTACTAAAGCCTCGCTGTCACTGAAACCTGAGTTACACACAGAGCAGCAGAAAGGTTTCTCCCCAAACTGACCAGGCATGTGAGAACTTTCAAGATTGGAAAAAGCGATACCACAAAGTGAGCCATCATTCGGTTTCAGACTTTTCTGAAATCTGCTGGTAACCGGCAGCTGGTGCTTTCGGTCTATTACTGTTCCACACTGAGAGCTGTCGAACAGTGGGTTAGAAGTGTGACAATGAGAGGGCTCGCCGACACACTCGTGGTTCAAGAGCTGCGACTCCACACAACTGGGTGGTTTCTCCTCTGTGTGGACACATATGTGCCTGGTCAGATTTCCTTCTGTTGCAAACCATTTACCACAACATGAGCAACTGAATGGTTTCTCTCTTGTGGGAGATGTTTTGTGCGTCAGCTGACTGTCCTCATATTGATCTTTACGCTCTGAGGGACTGAATGGATTCTCGCTGATGGAAACGTCCTCAGTTTCCAAATGGTTTGGACCTGAATGAGGATGCCTGGTCTGTGTGGAAAAACAAACACCATCACCAGTCCTGGGATCTGTTTGAACCTGGTCATCAGAGCAGCTGACTGCTGTCTTACTGGTCATATATCCTTTACTTATAGATACTTTTTTATTTCTTCGATAAGTGAACCCAGACTGATGCTGCCTGGTATCTTTCCAAAACTCAATGTCAACATTGTCATCAGGTTCTAGAGATGGTTCGCCACCTTTATCAGTCTCTGGTTGTAAATGTCTCTCTGGATCTGAGTTCCTGGCTGGTTCTGGTCCTCCACATTCCTCTCCATCAGCTTCTGTTTCCATATGTTCATGTTGTCTTTGATGAAGCTGTGAGGACTGAGGATCAGTACTGTCTTCAGTGTCTTCAGAAGAGTCTCCAGGGTTGTCCTCAGTCTCTGGTTGTAAATGTCTCTCTGGATCTGAGTTCCTGGCTGGTTCTGGTCCTCCACAGTCCTCTCCATCAGCTTCTGTATCCATGTGTTCAGCTGAGCTGCTGGCTGGAGGCTCTGCCTCTCTGTTCTCCTCAGTCTGAGTTTGATGAAGCTGTGAGGACTGACGACCAACACACTTATGGATTTTGACCGAACGACTCCAAGTAAATCTTCTGTCACAAACACTGCAGCTGAATGGTTTCTCTCCTGTGTGGATTATCATGTGTTCCTTTAAATTTCCTCTCTGTGCAAAATGTTTCCTACAAATCGAGCAGCTGAATGGTTTCTCTCCTGTGTGGATTATCATGTGTTCCTTTAAACTTCCTCTCTGTGCAAAATGTTTCTTACAAATTGAGCAGATGATTGGTTTCTCTCCTGCACTACGTCTTGAATCACTGACAGAGTTTTGTTTATTTCTCTGAGAGTTTGAACCTGGTTCTCTGGTCTCCTTCCAATCAGCCCTGTCTTCAGTGTCAGGTTCAGAAGAGTCTCCAGGGTTGTCCTCAGTCTCTGGTTGTAAATGTCTCTCTGGATCTGAGTTCCTGGCTGGTTCTGGTCCTCCACAGTTCTCTCCATCAGCTTCTGTTTCCAGGTGTTCAGTTTGTCTTTGATGAAGCTGAGAGGACTGAGGTTTCTCTTCATCATCTTCACTCTTCACAGGGACAGGAGTGAATGTGGACTTGGTGATATCAGCCTCCTCCAGCCCTTGAAGCTGCTCTCCCTCCTGACTGATCCAGAGTTCCTCCTGCTCCTCTTTAATGTGTGGGGGGGGCTCTGGGTCCTCCTGGTCCAGACTGGAGCTCCACTCCTGCTGCTCAGGGGGAACCTCTTCTTTAACCACCAGCTGCTGGACGTCTGCAGGAAACAGGAAACACATATTCAGAGAAACTGTAGAGTATTCGAATTTTAAATCTAACCACGATTAACACTTCTTTAACTTTTCAGCCCTTATCCATTCCTTATTTTAAATGCTTTTCCAGATGCCCTGGAGAGTTTCAGGACAACAGGTGAGTTAGTACGGTAGCTGGTCTAAAACGTAGTTTCACTGCCGCTTAGCAAGGCGTCGGCCGTTCACGGAGTGTGAGGCCTTAGCCTTACAGTTTGTGACCTGTCTGCAGAGTCGTTAGCTGAGAACTGGTGTTGGAGTTTCTCAGAGTAGTCGTTTAGCATCTCTCACCGCCTTGCTAAACCTGTACTTGGACTCATACAGGTGCATCTCAATAAATTGGAATATCATGGAAAAGTGAGTTTATATCAGTAATTCAATTTATAAAGTTGAAACTTATACATCACATAGATTCATCACACACAAAGTGATTATTTCCAGCATTTATTTGTTTTAATCTTGATGATTAAATGATAGCCAAAATTCAGCATCTCAACATTTTAATATAACATAAGACCAATAAAAAAGATGCTCTAATATAGAAATGCTGTCCTTCTGAAAAGTATGTTAATACTTGCTGTCAGTACTTGGTTGGAGCTCCTTTAGCATGAATAACTGCATCAAAGTGGCGTCAGAGTTCCCGTTAGCCGATATGCTGAAAACCGGCAAATCTAAATCTCTCTGGTCAAAATAATTTTCACTTAGCGCAATACCGCATCAGTTGCGCCACTTATGTGACAGACAAGAATAGTATGTGACAGACAAGAATAATCAATTCTAATGTCTAACACGTGGAGAAAGAGATGTCCTGGGTTGATTGTGCGTTGATCTGTTGGTAATGCCTCTGGGTTCCGGTGGGCATGTAAACAAATGCATAATGCTGCGCTATACTTTGCAGCCTCACCCGGTTGCATAGCAACGCTTATTGTTTAGGTGTCTTTTAATAAGCAGGTAGTCATATCATTAGCTAGAACTAGCTAGATCTGATCGATATGGACATATACGCGAGTAAAGTCTAATCTGACGGGAGAGATCAGCTGCTGCTGACGAGTCGACACGCAGCTCTGCATGATACCCTGCAGCGGCGAGCAGAACAACACACACTTCAGGTTAGAATATCACACGTAGCTATTTTAATGACCTCTCAAACTACCTAAACTAGTTATAGATATGTTTAGTTTTACTGTCGGGTCACTCATTACTGGATCCATTACATTTCATTTAGCTTTTATCCAAAGCGACTTACAATTACTAATTACAGGGACATTCTCCCTGGAGTAACTAAGGACTAAGTGCCTTACTCCAGGGGCCTCATTTATAAAGGGATATACGCTCAAAAAATGGCGTACGCCAGTTTCTACGCAATGTTTGCGATTTATAAAATACTAACTTGACGGGAAAATGTGCGGTCCTCCACGCAAACTCTAACCCATGCGTACGCACTAAGCACACAAACGGGAGAGACGAGAAACTGCGACACCGTTGGCAGAAGGAAGAATGGAGAGAAATATGTGGAAATAATACCATAAATAAAATGTTACCTCTCATTTATCAAATATGAAGAATTCACTTTCAAACATTGATTAAAGCCAATCTTAAAATGATTAAACAAACGCCTGTTTGAGACTCCTCAGTGCACACAAACACATCACTTGGAGAAATAAATAAATACGGATATGCTATTTAAAACTACCTCGAATATGTTGTGTTAATGTTATGAAATGTTTTCTCATAAATGATGCGGTAAGCAGGAGGACAGAATGACGTCTAAACTGACGCCGTTTTGCATTTCTATAGGTTGTAGATACGAGCATGGTTTTATATACTATCACGTTTAATCGTGTTTTATGCCGTTTGCCAAGACTTGATAAGTCGCTCGTAAAACACAGGAGGTATGGAAACTAAGAACACCATATGTGGTAAATTGTACAGCTAATATAACACAACACGTTGTATTTCCTTTAACTGGTGGATTATGGATATATAGTTGCTGATCGACAGCTGGAACACAAACCACCAAATACAACACAAATAATTCAGATCCAGTCGTCATGACTACACTCCGGAGGGATTCCCCGATCATTTCTTACAGTTTCTCATCAAGGGGGTGTCTCCTGTCCCCGGGACAAACACACTGCCTGAGGAAGGCTATGTGTATTTATTTTGTCATTAACTTTTTTCGGACCACTTATTTATTTATTTTGGTGACGATTCGACCTCCATGCTGCTACTCTGGTTCAAACTGCATCCACCAAACAATATGATTTATCTCGACCTCCCCACAATAACCAAAATCTGACACGGTGTGAGATGTCTTTTTTAGCTGTTCTATCGTTATTTCCTGCGATCTTCTTCATGCAGTCAGTCAAAATGAATGAATGAATGGGCGTTTCTTTGACTATGTATAGGCAAATATGGGCGTTACGAGTCGATTGTGATTTATCAAGGGAAACAGGCGTAGGGAGTGCCGTACGCACTTCCCTCGCCGGTACGCAATGTTTTGTGAATCGGAAAAAGGCGGAAAATGTATGTACCTATTTTTGTGCTTTGTACTACGTAAGCAACCTTCCTACGTCAATCCTACGCAAGGCGTTATAAATGAGGCCCCAGGACACACTAGTGGTAGTGTTCCTGGTGGGATTTGAACTCACAACCTTCCGATCGTCAGCCCACCTCACTATCCATTAGACCACCACTATCCTAGTTTTGATTTGATTAGACAGTTAACTTGTTAAATAATACAGACTAGAAAATAATGCTTGTGTAAACTCCCTAAAATGGCATTACTGAACATATTACAATGTTTTCAGCCAGCCAGTAAGCAAAAATGATTAAATGATGGTGGTGTTCCTGGCGGGATTTGAACTCACAACCTTCCGATCTACAGCCCACCTCACTATCCATTAGACCACCACTATCCCTGTCAAAACTGCATTGTTTCACCGAAACAGTGTTAAAATCACAAACTTTCCATTTAGTTTGATTGTTTAAGAAACTCAATTTATTACAAATTAATTCATATTTTACCAAGTTGTAAAGTTTTGCATGCATTAAAGTGTAACTATAAGTATTTGTAGGAGGAAAAAAAAAAATCTTTTTACCATTTAACCTGTTAAGCACCAAGCCTGTTTTTCATGTTTCAGGCTCGAAAATGACATGCCCAAAACAAATGACTACAACTTAACTTCTAAAAGGGTTATATGAATAATTTATTTTATCAAAGCAAGGTTACATCTGTGAGTTGGATGTAGAAGCGTCAGAATCAATATAAATGTTTTTTATTTTAAAGAAAATTCAGATTTTACATAGTAAAAAACTGTAAATTATAGTGTCTGTCCAAAAATTATTTTGTACAGATAGTGAAAACTACCCTTGGATGATGGGTTAGTAGACTAAAAGCTATAGGAATCCAAAGTACAACATATAATAAGTACCGTGTATCAAGATTGATGCAAAACAAGTGACATTTGACCTTTTTAGAGAGGATTAGCCAAAACCACCACCTCTGAGGTGATTTGGGTGAAAATGTTTTTTTTTTCATATCTCTGGCCCCCCTTGCTCGATTTGGATGGTTGACACCTCTTTCTGACCGTTAGAGCCAATAGAATCGAAGGGGGAGGCTCCCACACACACACGTTGTGAAGAGAAATTGTGGGGGCTGCGCGCATGTAAATGTGCAGCAGAGTGGACCGATCTCTAGCTCTGGCATCTGGAAGCGAAAAAGCAGTTTTATTGCTTATGGATTATCAGAAATCATTTCAAAGAGGACACAGATACATTGGATTAACCTATGGATTAACTGCAGCATCGTTTTAATGCCATTGAAGACCAGTTTTGACCAAGGTAAGCCATGTTAGCGTTTCTAGCTACTTAGCTCCACATGTTATGATGTACGCTTTCGTTTATAGCGTCGCAAATGTTTATCACTGAGTGTTGAGGTTTTTTACACAGATTCTGTGTCTCCAGGTGATGCAAATCGAGGGGTTGGCTGTGCATCTAGGATAAGTAATAAGGGAGTTATTGTGAGTTTAAGTGCCGTTTTAGGTTACATTTTTTCGCCCGTGGCTAATTCAGAGGCTGAGTGCTAGCATTGTGGGTTTTTTTTAGATAAAAAAAAAAAAAAAGATCAGTTAGCTGAGTTTCTTCCCGTTACATGGATATAAAACATTCATAGTTTATTAAATATTAAGATTCCTTAGACGTTGTTTCCTGCAAATGACGCGTTTATCCGCCCGGTACCGGGGGGGCGGTGCGTAACAGGTTAAAGTGGACCTATCATGCTATATTTAAATGATATATTGTAGGGCCAAACCTATATAAGGTATATTTATACGTTTCTGTTTTCAAAATACCAAACAGATCATGCATTTTAGCCATGCCTCATTTCGCTCTATGTGCCAAAATTATTCAGGTATTCGAATAAACATATACATTGAATTATTCAATTTGATAATATGTAAACAACTTAGGCATCCCTCCCAAAATAAAAAAAAATTAAAAAAAATATTCATAACTCATATTCGAACACCTGAATAATTATTCGAATACCTGAATAATTTCGAATATTCGATTAATCGTTCCCATCCCTAGTTGTTTCACCGAAAAAGTGTTAAAATCACAAAAACGTACCTTTCAAAGTCACATTCTTAAAGTAAATCTGTTCAGAAAAGTACTTAAAGGGGACCTATCATGCAAAATGCACTTTTGTACGTCTTTTATACATGAATATGTGTCCCCGGTGTTCCAGGGAACTCACCAAGTGTCAGAAAACACAACCCTCTCTATTTTCCTCCATACCCAAATCTCTAAAAAAGGGGCTGCAACAGATCTGATAAAAACTGATCCAGATTTGAACACTGTCCTGACGTCAGGACGGTGGCGCTACGGCTATTGGGCCAACTCTCCACCTATCAGGGGAATGTGGGGTTGGGCCACGGCCGGCCATTGCCGCTCGAAAGCGCTGGAGA